AAGCAGCACACAGGCTGAAACCGTGTAATCAATAAAAAGTATATTCTGGAAATGTGGTAGTTGGAGTTTTTATCACTGTGACAAAATTATCACCGCATGTGCAGATCGAACATTCATAATGAAGCAATCTTCCCTTAGCTTTCAAAGTCTCAGATACATCTTGCTTAGTTTTGTTTATGTGCAATACATTTGGTGCAAAAATGAACAGATCATTGTTATAATTCTTTAGCCTTTATTTCATTTTATTGTGAAAAGAGCAGTGATGTGCAGTAACCTATAGCAAACAATAGTCCAATTTCAGCACTGTATCTAAGCAGATCATTTCCTGATTCTATGGGTTACTGAAAGTTGCATGCTACTCCGTTTCCTTTTTTTGCAGCTTGAAAGGCTATATATCCTATGTAAATAGTTTAAACATGTTTGTATGACCCTTTCAGAAGGTTTTTAGAACTAAGGATTATTGAAACCCCATTTGCATTCTTTGCCATGCTTACCTGCATTTCTGTGTTATCATTTCATTAAAGGCCTCTAGATTAGTTTATAACTTCAGTTGCACATATTTATGGATCTTCTGATCTTTTTCGAGATGGATGGAACTGTGCTTACATATCATTGTGCCCTTGTCACTCCATGATTGATGATGCCCTTTAATAAAGCTCCACCCATCTGGGGAGATTTACTAAAACTGGTGCAAACAGAATCTAGTGCAGCTGTGCATAGTAACCAATCAGCTTCTTCAGCTTGTTCAATTAAGCTTTGACAATAACACCAAAAACTGGTTACTTTGGTACAAACCAAATCTGGTGCAGAAGTGCAGTTTTAGTACATTTCTCTCATTGTATCATGTCAGAAAGTGCTAATCAAGGAGGCATACAGTCTGCTTTTTATGGTTACATAGTTTGTCAGACCTCAGTCTATTTAGTTCAACCAATAGAAAAAAAAATAGAAAACCTTTTATATACACAATTCTGTACCCACAGTTGAAGGCAAAAAAACCTATAAAATATATAGTATGTATATATATATATATATATATATATATATATATATATAGACCTATAAAATATATATACAGTTTGCTCCAGGGGGGAAAAAAATTCTTTCCTGATCCCCCAGAAGACAATTGGACAATTGGACCTATAAATGTTAATATTCAGTTATATTTTGTGCATTTAGAAATACATTCAACTTTTTTTAAAAAAAAAACAATCTAATGAGCTGGCCAGAGTCTATGCCACATTTTCACAGCTCTTACGGTGAAGAAGCCTTTCCTTATGTGGCAGTTAAATCTCTTTTCCATCAAGCATGAAGAGTGCCCCCGTGTCGTTTATAATGACCTTAAAGTCAGATAATTTGTAAGCTTGAAAAAAGACACATCCATCCAGTTCCATCTATGTGTGTGATTTTTATTCTAACAGTAAAGGACAGTTTCCTCAATCTAACGTTAACCTCCTTTCTGTTACCTTCTTGAAGGACCTTAGAGTAAACAGTTTATCACAGTTACTGGAGTCACCTTTGATATACTTGTACATTGTAATCATATGCTCTCCAGAGTGAATAACTGTAGTCTATGTAATCAGTCCTTATATCTGAGGTTCTCCACCACCTTATTAATTTTGTTGCCCTTCCATGAGCTCTTTCTAACTCAGCAATATCTTTCCTGAGGATTGATGACCAAAACGAAACTGCATATTCAATATGAGACTGAAGCAGTGTTTGTAAAGGGTTCCCCCCAAAAAAGGGGGGAAAATGTCAGTGCGTCTTATGGAGCGAATGAAAAGCGGCCGGTCTGGTATTTCTGCTGCCACCATGTCCGAATATCGGGCCGGCCGCTCAGCTCTTCTCTCCTGCAGGACCTTACTGTTCCTCGCTCCAGCGCTGCAGTCTTCCCGCGGCGGATTCTGTAAGAGCCGGGTGCCCACTGCGCATGCGCGAGAAGCGCTGCGCTTTGTGAATGGTCCGGTGTCTTCTGGGACACATGACAGGTCCCAGAAGGCTCCGGGCCATTCACAAAGCACAGCACTTCTCACGCATGCGCAGTGGGCACGCGGCTGTCACGGAAGCCGCCGCGGGAAAAAGAAGGAAGGACAACTCTGCGGAAGTGGGAGCGGGTACCTGTCAAATTCAGGTACCCGTTCCCCCTCCTTCCCCAAAGGTCTGCAGTCTCTGGTAATCTCCTTTACTGTCTGCAGTCTCTGGTCATCCCCTGCACTGTCTGCAGTCTCTGGTCATCTGTACTATGTCCACAGTCTCTGGTCATTCCCTGTACTATGTCCGCAGTCTCTGGTCATTCCCTGTACTATGTCCGCAGTCTCTGGTCATTCCCTGTACTATGTCCGCAGTCTCTGGTCATCTCCTGTACTGTGTCCGCAGTCTCTGGTCATCCCCTGTACTGTGTCCGCAGTCTCTGGTCATCCCCTGTACTGTGTCCGCAGTCTCTGGTCATCCCCTGTACTGTGTCCGCAGTCTCTGGTCATCTCCTGTACTGTGTCCGCAGTCTCTGGTCATCCCCTGTACTGTGTCCGCAGTCTCTGGCCATCTCCTGTACTGTGTCCGCAGTCTCTGGCCATCTCCTGTACTGTGTCCGCAGTCTCTAGTCATCCCCTGTACTGTGTCCGCAGTCTCTGGTCATCCCCTGTACTGTGTCCGCAGTCTCTGGTCATCTCCTGTACTGTGTCCGCAGGCTCTGGTCATCCCCTGTACTGTGTCTGCAGTCCATTGGTTCAGAATATTTTTTTTCTTGTTTTTCCTCCTCTAAAACCTAGGCGCGTCTTATGGCCAGGTGCGTCTTATGGAGCGAAAAAAACACGGTACTTCTTTATCTCTGGAATATATGCCCTTTTTAATGCATGAAATTATTTTGTTCGCTTCGTTAGCTGTGGCTCTGTATTACATGCTGTTGCTAAGTCTGTGATCTATAAGCACCCCCAGATCCTTTTCCATCACTGATTCTCTCATTGGGGCCACACCTTATGTATAATTTGCATGTGGAACCACTTTACAACTATACAGACCGCAAACAGTAAATAGGAGAGATGGTTTTATATTTCGTGGAAATAGCAAAAAGCAGAGTGCTGAGGTTAATACCAAGTGAAAAAACACCTTTAATAAAAGCAGCAAACTTACATGTCAGAATTCACCAATCCGCCAGTAAATAATGGCAGAGCGGGTTGAAACACCAGACCTGATCTGCTGAAGGTACACAGAGGCAATAAATGGCTGCCAAACATGCAGCAGCAGCAGGGGCTCCAATGGGACAGCAGATAGTGTGGATAAAAAGAGCTGGTGGCGTCTCCAGCCACACTGTGAGGATGTCAGAATCCTTAGGTGATGTCAGGAGGGGCAACCATAATGCATTTCAAGGGTCTCAGTCCCTCACAATGTGGGCTGCAAATTCAAAAATAGTGCAGGAACTTCTTTCCTGTGTGTCTCTGGGCACGGCAGCCCATTCAGATGAATGGGCTCTCATTCCCGGGAAAATTGGTGTGAACCCAGTCTTTAAGCAGTTCTAAAGGCAGAATACATTAAGGTGAAAAATCTTCAGTGTGCAGATTCTCCCCAGTCCCACTAATACATACCTGAGCCTGATCTTGTGCTGTGCACAGGAGCAGCAGCTCTCCCAGGTCTCTTCCTCTGCATTGGCTGAGACACAGCAGAGAGAGCAATTTGCCCCCACTGCTGTCAAGCACAGCCAGTGAGGAGGGGGTGGCCCGGGGCCACGCTCTGTGTGGCATGTAGACACACAGAGGTGGCTTGGGAGCAAGCACGCATGAGTTCCCCCAGAGCATGCCACTTGCTCTGGGGTACTGAGCAGGGGGGAGGGGCCAAGAGCGGGGGGGGGGGGGGGGCAAGAAGAGGACGACCACTGCACAGAACAGGTAAGTATGACATGTTTGTTACTTAAAAAAATATATAAACCTTTAGTATCACTTCCTTCAATGTACTTTTTTTTAAGTTTGGTTATATGTATAATAATTTATTACTGCATTATTGTAAAGTGATACTAAACAATAGACTTATTTTTCAAAAATAATCCATACACATTCACCACTTAATTGCCCTGTAATCTATTTTTCAATATATCAATTCTTACTTTGTTTTCCGCCTCCTTGTAATGTCCTCTATGAGCTTCCAAACCTCTCCTTTTCCCCCGACTCCTGTTTCTTTGAAATAAGCAGTGCATGTTCGTTGCAGTCATGTCACATTACAGATCCTGTAGTCTGTAGTCTCAGGAGTGAGAGCGAGGATGGCTACGCTCTTACTTACAGTGGAACCATGAGAATGAACAAAGCCACCTTCAAACATGAAGCTGGATCACAGCAGCAAAAAAATGGCTTTGGAGGTTTGGAGAGCTACTGTTGAGAACAGTAAATGTTCTTTTCTGAGTTAAGAATTTATTCTTGAATAAAATATATTTTTTTCAAACCATAGTTTAGTGTCACTTTAAGTAATGACAAAGTTAATCCCAAATAAACATGCCTGTAGCCGAAATGTGACATTTTATGGCTCATAGGGGGATGTACAGGTGTGATAAATGAAATGGTTAAATAGAATGATTACACTGAACAATACACTGTTGCCATTCTGCTAAAGTTTTGTGCCAACCTGAGAACTTTTACATATTATATACAGTGTACACATACAAATACTTTTTTACATCATTGATGAAACCCCATGCAACTTGCAAATGTATATGTCCTCACACCTACCAAAACACATGGTACTGCGAGATATTAAAAATCATGCCAGCACTGTGTTTCACGCACAAAGGGCAGCCCTTTAAAATTATGGGATGCTCCAAAACATGATGTGTGGGAATGCACAAAAAGGCACACATGATTTGACACACCTCATGGTGTTTTTTGTTTTATTTTAAATAAATGTTACTTGTATTTCAGATTCACAAATTCTGTATGTTATCTTTTTGTTAATAGTCTCTGTTATCTACAGCATGAAGGCAACTTTATGCTCACATCCATTTTACTTCATTTTTTTTTTAGGAAGAGATAGCAAAGCTCCAGCAGCTAACTAAACAACTTCATGGAGCTCATGAAAAAAGTGGAACTGGTAAGCAAAATGACTGCTTCATAAAGGCTGTAATGACCATGATGTGTGAAATGTAACAGAAAGGATGACTGAACGTGCAGTGCTAAACTGTCAGTGCGTTTTACTGAGGTATGAACAGTACAAATTTTAGGGCCCATTACAAGCTTTTCTTAAGGCAAGAGTAATGGTGTATTGAAATCACAGGTTACATCTATTTTGGTATTGAGTATGCTTCTATCTTCTAAAATTTGAAGGGGCGGTAAATAAGCCATCAAGGTTTTAGCTGGCCACTTTTTCCAGGGATGTGAAAATCTATGTCCAGACCATTTATCAGGTGTTACAAAAAATTCTATCTTGGATGTTATAGTTGATAAGGCAATATTATGTTTTTTTTTTTGTTTGATTTTTATTGCATTTGAAACAGTCATAATTTTAAAATCTTTTCAGGGAATTAAAGTTATTGTAAAGCTTTGGATTTTTAATAATGAACATGTTATACTTACCTGCTCTGTGCAATGGTTTTCCACAGAGTAGCCCAGATTCTCCTCTTCTCAGGTTCCCCCACTAGCACTGTCCACTCCTCCCCCTGCCGAGTGCCACTATAGCAAGCTGATTGCTCGGGGGGCAATCATGTATGCTCGACTCCGAGCCGGCTCTGTGTTTTCATTGATACACACAACGCAGCTCAACCCCAACCCCTGCTCCCTCATCACTAGCTGTGATTGACAGCAGCAGGAGCCAATGCTATATTTACCTGATCTGTGCAATGGTTTTGCACAGAGTAGCCCCGATCCTCCTCTTCTCTGTCCGCCCACCAGCGCTGTTTGCTCCTCCCCCTGCTGAGTGCCCCTATAGCAAGCCACTTGCTATGGGGGCACTCATGAATGCTCACTCCTGACACTGCTCTGTGTCCATTTAACACACAACGTGGCTCAACCTCCCCCCCCCCCCATCCCACTGCTACCTCTATGTCCAATAAGGAGAGAGAGAGAGAGCAACTGCTTTTGGGCACATCGCTGGATTCAGATCGGGCTCAGGTAAGCATGGGGGCCTGGGGGGGGGGGGGGGGGGGGGTGTTAGCAGCACACTGATGTTTTTTTTACCATACCCAAGCTTCCTGTCAGAGGTGGTTTGTACCACATTACCTAAGCAGGCTGACCTGTATCAGATCTATTTGCCCCACCTTTTATTTTAGAGTGAAGCAGAATAGATGTTAGAGGGTTCAGTTAAGAGAGAGTGGCTATGTTCCTTCACCTTGGTCCCACTGTATGGAACCAAAAAAAGTAGCCACCCTCTCTTGCTTGCCTTTAAGATGGACTATGAGATTTGTAGTGTGCATAGAGAAATGCACATGACCACAAATAGTTTGCTCTATTCGTTCCAAACAAGTGTAAGTGAGGGGAAAAGGTGACATTTGAGAGCTCACAGAGAAACAGAGTAAGAAATTATTTTGATCTATCAATAACAGGCCCATTAAGTACTGTATTTGTACAGTATGGATCATTTTTAGAGAAAAATGGTATTGTTTACTTTTCTCTCCTTCACCTAACCTCCTTCCTAACCTAGAACAAAAAGAAAAACATATAGAAACACATTGGAAGGAAAAAGTGCAATTTCTGCATGGTAACACCTTCGTCAGCAACATGTTGGACACTGGTAGTTACATATTAATATTATAATATGGGCAGCACAGTGGCTAAGTGGTTAGCTCTTCCGCCTGGCAGTACTAGGGTCGCCGATTCGAATCCCAACCACGGCACCACCTGCCTGGAGTTTGTATGTTCTCCCTGTGCCTACGTGGGTTTTCTCCGGGTACTCCAGTTTCCTCCTACACTCCAAAAATATGCTGGTAAGTTAATTGGCTCCTGTCTACATTGTCCCTAGTATGTGTGTGTATGAATGGAAGTTAGGGACCTTAGATTGTACACCCCTTGAGGGTTAGGGACTGATGTAAATGTACAATATATATGTAAAGCGTTGTGTAAATTGACGGCGCTATATAAGTACCTGAAATAAATAAATAATATATTCACCTCAATATGCCAATGAGCCATGGAAGCAAAGAAAAGAGGAGGATCAATCAGACATACACTGTATGATCACAGTAATCCTTAAAGGGATTTTGGGGCAGCTGCAACTATCTAGTGCAGATCACTCTGGGAGGTCTAAAGAGTGAATGGGATGCAAAAGGGTTCTCTGATTGCACAAGGTGGAGATGATGCCTCTCCAAATTGTCCAGTCAGACAGCACTAGACATGTGTGATTTATTTTGTTACAAATCTAATTTTTCGATATTCAGAAATTCGGATGTATCTGAATTTCTGAATCACAATAGTAATGAATTTCAATAAACTCTAATGAAACAAATTATCCAAATTTGAAAATGAATGCAAATTCGTAATGGAAAATATTGCAATAAATACAGTAATGTATAAAAGGGAATAGGATGATGATTCCTACTTAGGCTGCTTTATACAATACAATAGAACAGAATAGAATATAGAAAGAATAAAACAGAATAAAATATACAAAAATAGAATAAAACAGAACAGAGGAGAAAACAAAGAAATAGACTAAAACTAAGCAGAATAGAATTATTATTATACAGTATTATTATACAGTATTTATAAAGCGCCAAAGGGTTTGATCAGCTCTGTACAATAGCGGGGGGGACAGAACATGAGACAAAACAGTACAATACAATACACGAGGGGTTCGAGGGCCCTGCTCTTACGAGCTTACAATCTAGGAGGGAGGGGATAGTGGTACAGGAGGAAGTGGCTGTGGGGGATGGAGTGGTAGGAGGAGTGGAGGAGATTGGTTGTTAGGTGTGGGTGGGGTAGGCTTCCCTGAAGAGATGGGTTTTCAGGGTGCGCCTGAAGGTGAGTAGGGTAGGTGATAGTCTGATGGATTGGGGTAGGGAGTTCCAGAGGATGGGGGAAGTCCTGGAGAAGTCCTGCAGTCGGGCGTGGGAGGAGGAGACCAGGGAGCTGGAGAGTAGGAGGTCCTGTGAGGAGCGAAGGGCACGGGTGGGGTGGTATTTGGGTATCAGGTCAGTTAGGTAGTTTGGGGCAGCGTTGTGAATGGCTTTGTATGTCAGAGTTAAAACAGAATGTAATAGAAAAGTAGAAAATAGAGTAGAAAAAGAATATAAAAAATAAAACAGATTAAATTAGAATAGAATAAAATAGAATGAATATAGCCATCTTCCAAAATTCGAATTTCAAATCGATAAATTTGAAAATAAAGAATATAGGAAACGAATATCAAACACAAATCATTCTAGAATAGTGAATATGATGAAATTATTAACTTGACGAACCAATCCAAAACTAAGCATATTTTTCATTGTTTACATCTCTAGAGAATTGTTGTCTATCTGTCGATGCAAGACATGAGACCCAGAACACCGCTGTGATCACTGTAGTAGTGGCGACTACTACAGCGATTCTCCACTTCCACCACATTCCCATAGGTATGGCATATGTATAATGCCATTGGTCCAAGCTGGACCTATATAACTATGCAATAAAATCCATACTTGAAGTTTGGCTTTAATACATATTTATCCACAAAGTGTTTAATAATAGATCAATCCATACACCTAAGCACAAGGTACACCTTTGATGATAATGAGAATTTGCGTGCTGTGAAAATGAATCACATTGCTGTATGGTTCATTTTTGCAACTTACTATAAACTCACTAGAACATGTATAATACAACTGCACGATGTCAGTCAAGCTCTGTTTTTGCTTTCTGCCACCCCTTTTTCAATTATTATAAACTAGGAAGAATGAAATAATTGAGGTTAAAGCTGCTGTTAGTATCATTAGCTTTCTGAATTAACTTTCATTTCTTGGCAGAAGGAGAGCCATCAAGGTGATTCAGTTATGCAGTGACTGTGCCTGATTAGTTGGCTGCAGGAGCTCTGAATCATATACAGCTTTCCATGCTTCTCCCTTGCCTTAGTTAATTTGAATTGTGGATGTGTTAGAATTTGTTTGGATGTCATGAAGGTGAAGGGTGTATTGAAACTCGGCACATACTATAGTATTGTGCTCCCTTGAGCAAAGAATAATGTGTGTAAGGAATCTTCTTGTGCTGCTTCTCTAAACCAGTAATGTACAGTAGGCCTCTTGTCATATGGCTTCACATAAGAAGACACAAACCAACCACAGTGAATGGCCATTTAATTATTTATATGCCTTAGTTAAATATATACAATATATTCCCAGCGCTTAGAGACCCACTCCCCTAATGAGCATCTCAGGTGACTCAGCAAGAAGAGCTACTGCCGGACGCAGTGGTGAGTTCCCATCCTGGTCCTGACAGTTATACTGAGCAGCCAGTTTGTAGGCAGGTGTACCATGTCTTCATTAAAAGACTATAGATTATAGTTTGACACTTCAATTCTTCTTTTCATTCATGATGTCAGGATCTGTTTACAACCACAGCTCACAGTATTAGAAAATGTTCAACCAGTCTTCTATTTTTCCATAGGACTGGAACTATGTGAAAAGACAATGAGGTTAAGCATAACATACTCCTAGGTGGACAGTTCCTTCAGGTGATAGCAGAGACTCCAAAGAGACTACCTGAAAGAGCTAGGTACAAATGAATATCTTAACAAAATACACAAAACATAATACACAATAATCCTGTGAAAAGAATATAAAGTATCACGTCTGTGGAAGCCACTGTCCCAAACTAAGCAGCGAATGAAAACCAAAGGAAAATGGCATAAGAAACAGATATCAAAATACACTTTATTGAATCACACGGTAAAAAAAAAAAAACTTAAGCTGGGCATGCATTATACAATTTTCTTTAAATTTATCTTTAACTATGTAGTGTAAGGGCCTGCCTGATTGCATACAAATTGAAAGTGTTTAGGTTTGATCTCATACTTTATAGTTTTGGTAAATCTAAAGGAAAATTGTATAATGTATGGCCAGCCTTAAAGATAAATTCCAGGTATAGTATATTCTTACATACAGTCAGGTCCATAAATATTGGGAC